CCCTCCCTGGGCTGCCACCTTACCGTGGTGGAGGGATTTGAGTGTCCCAATGATCCTAGGAGCTATGCTGTCAGGGGGTTTATGCCCCTAGTAGGGTCACCCATGGCAGACAGGTCCTAGGTGAAAAACGGGACAAAGTGCAGCCTAAAGACCCCGATGATGAGACAAATAAATGGAACTAATGTTCCCTTGCCCGGACGTGGGTCACCGGGGCCCCACTCTGGAGCCAGGCCTGGAGGTGGGGCACGCGTGCGATCGCCTGGTGGCCGGGCTTTTACCCATGGAGCTCAGCCGGGCACAGCCCGAAAAGGAGACGTGGGTCCCCCTTCCCATGGGCTCACCACCTGTGGGAGGGGCCAAAGGGGTCGGGTGCAATGTGGGATGGGTGGTGGCCGAGGGCGGGGACCTTGGCGGTCTGATCCTCGGCTACAGAAGCTGGCTATTGGGACGTGGAATGTCACCTCACTGGTGGGGAAGGAGCCTGAGCTGGTGTGTGAGGCTGAGAGGTTCCAGCTAGAAATAGTCAGACTCACCTCTACGCATGGCTCGGGCTCTGGAACCAGTTTCCTTGAGAGGGGCTGGACACTCTTCCACTCTGGAGTTGCCCCTGGTGAGAGGCGCAGAGCAGGAGTGGGCATACTTATTGCCCCCACACTTGGTGCCCGTGCGTTGGGGTTCACCCCAGTGAATGAGAGGGTGGCCTCCCTCCGCCTACGTGTGGGGGGATGGGTTCTGACTGTCGTTTGTGCTTATGCATTAAACAGCAGTTCAGATTATCCACCCTTTCTGGAGTCCTTGGAGGGGCGAGTGGAACTAAGATCAAAAAGTTATATTTTGGTCTCATATGACCACAGAACTTTCTCCCATGACTCCTCTGGATCATCCAAATGGTCATGGTCAAACTTCAGACGGGCCTGGACGTGCGCCGATTTAAGCAGGGGAAACTTCAGTGCCATGCATGATTTTAAACTATGACGTCTTAGTGTATGACCCACAGTAACCTTGGAAACAGTGGTGCCAGCTCTCTTCAGGTCATGGACCAGCTCCTCCCATGTAGTTCTGGGCTGATTCCTCACCTTTCTTAGGATCATTGATACGCCACGAGGTGAGATCTTGCATGGAGCCCCAGTCCGAGGGAGATTGACAGTCGTGTTTAGCTTCTTCCATTTACTAATAATTGCTCCAACAGTTGATCTTTTTTCACCAAGCTGCTTGGCAATTGTCCCGTAGTCCTTTCCAGCCTTGTGGAGGTCTACAATTTAGTCTCTGGTGTCTTTGGACAGCTCTTTGGTCTTAACCATGTTAGTAGTTGGAGTCTTACTGATTGTGTGGGGTGGACAGGTGTCATTATGCAGCTAACCACCTCAAACAGGAGCTTCTCATTTAGAAAAATAAGTGGAGAGGAGGTGGACTTTTTAGGGGAGGACTAACAAGTCTTTGAGGACCAGAAATGTTGACGATTGGCAGGTGTTCAAATACTTATTTGCAGCAGTAACACACAAATAAAATATTAATAAATCATACATTGTGATTTCTGGATTTCTTTTTTAAATTATGTCTCTCACAGTGGACATGCACCTAAGATGAACATTTCAGACCCTCCATGATTTCTAAGTGGGAGAAATTGCAAAGTCGCAGAGTGTTCAAATACTTTTTTCATCACTGTAAATATACACATATATATATACATACACACACATATATATACACACACACACACACA